CTTGTTTATTTGTTTTTATTGGCCATCTGTACCCACTCCAATACAAGCCCAAGGAGATCAGAAGCCTCAGCTCTTGTTCGCTGCTGTACCCTCAGCACCTATCACCGGCCCTGGCACACAGTAAATGCCCAATACACTTGAGATCGGTGTAGGAATGAATATGGGCTAACCGGGGAACTTCCGATTTGAGCTCAATTCCTGGGACTAAAGTGCTGGAGGTCCAGAGAGGATTCTCAACCCCGCAGAAAGTCCAGTGACCCTAAAAGTCAGAACCCTATCTCTAAAATAATGACAATCTCTGATTTGATCATTTTCTGGGCTCTCTGTACATCCAGGAAGGATTATGGGGATCTCTTTGTTTCCCAGCCCACCCTGTCCTTACCAGGCAGAGGAGAACTGGACTTTTAGAATAATGCCTTCTAGAATCTGCTCTTGCTCATTTGCTGGGGCTGGTGAACTCATATTAGTGTTTTGATTCCCTGTGCTCAGACGCTGGGCATTGAGGTTGGTGAAGGGATGTGGGAGCTGCTGCCCAGGGTCTGAACCTTCCTTTCTTTGTTCTTAGAAGAGGACAGGGAGGCGGATAAAAAGGGAGGAGATTTCCCAGGCCAAGTTCGGTGTGAAAAGGCCATCCCAGCTCACATTCATATTGGAAAAAGTTCCCCTCCTATAATGTAAGAGTTAGTCTCAAGCATTTACCAACCCAGCACAGAGTCCATTTCACCAGGGACTTTTGTTCCATGTTAAGGGGCCGGAGGGAGGAATGGTCTGGACACACAACTATCAAAAATGTGAAATAAATCAAATCGGAGGCATTTCTCCGATGACCCAACGTCCCTGAGGAGCGCTCTGTTCTCATTTTACCCCATTTGGCTTCTGTCTCCTCCAAAATTCTTAACAATCTAAAGACTTGTTCTGTGTCCGAGTTTCTCTCTGTTCCTCTGTGGCTGGAAAATGGAAAAACACCAGGATACTTCAAAGAGATCAGAAAGCAGGCAGAGCTGCACAAGACTGCACGTACCATCCGACCCAGCCAATCACAGAGTCTTAGAAACCAACAGGGAGCCAGCAGAGGAGAAACCCAGGCCAAATCCACAGCATCCTGTTTAAACCTCCACCATCCATCATTGTGACTTGCCAGTGACTAAGTGTTTGCTGCCTGCTGGCCTGACTGGGAGACTGTCCAAAAGGTGGGCTGTCAGGGGGGCTCGGTGGCAGCTGCAAGGGCACTAGAGTGGCACTAATCCCCTGCCTCGCTGCGTCTGGTAGATGGAATAATGGCCCCTTGAAGGTGTCCATGTCCTGGGCCCCTGAACCTTGAATACGAAAAAGGAAACATGACTCAGAGGGTGGAACCATGTGATTAAAGTTAAGGACTTTGGGATTGGGAGATACAAAGTGGGCCCAATCTAATCACGAGTCCTTAAAGGTGACGAGGAAGGCAGAAGATTCACCATGAAAAGGACCCGGCTCTCCGCTGCTTGCTGGGAAGATGCTGGAAGGCGGCTATGAGCCAAGGAATGCAGTGGCCTCCAGGAGCAGATAATGGCGCTCAGCTTACAGCCAATGAGAAAACGGTGACCTTGGTCCTACAACCAGAGGAACTGAATTCTGTCAACAACTCAAAAAAGTAGGGAACCAATTCTCCCTTAAAGGCTCCAGAAAGAAACACAGCCTAGTGATGCCTTGATTCTCTTCTAGGGAAGCTTCGGACCTACAGAATTGTGATATATTAATACATTTGACTTCTCTAAGCCATTAAATCTGTGGTAACTTGTGATGACATTAGAAAACCAATGCACTGTGTGACCCTAAATAATCCTTTCTTTCAAACTGGGCCTTAGTTTCCTGTCAATTGGAAAGGATGGACAAAGTGATCTATGTCCAAGGGTCTGCCTCTGCTCTCCTGACATTCCGCCTCCCCGAGAGCCCTGCCCCAAGTCCAGGACCTCTTCGTTTGAAAACCATTAAAGAAAAAATGGGAAGGAGTGACGGGGAGAGAAGATTAATCTTTAAAAAGCCCCAAGGAGTCTCCTAAGAGGCAACCAGGACACTCAGAAGGAGATTCAACTGTACCCCAGGGGAATGAAGTGGGAAGTCTGGGAGAGCAAGATAAAAGCTTCACAGTCAACTGGTAGAGGTTGTCCAGAGCACTGAGTTCAGAAGGATTTCCTAGCTCGGCCAGTGTGGCTCAGTGGTTGAGCATCCACCTATGAAGGAGGAGGTCATGGTTCAATTCCCCGTCAGGGAACATGCCTAGGCTGTGGGCTCAATCCCCAGTGCAGGGCATGCAGGAGGCAGCTGATCAATGATTCTCTCTCATCATTCATGTTTCTCTCTCTCCCTCTCCCTTTCTTAAATCAATAAAAAAAATATTTTTTAATCAATAAAAAAATAAAGAAGGATTTCCTGGCCTTGTGGGGGTTCTGTGCAAGGCCCTGATGATCAATGTCTGCCTGGGCCTGGGATGGGGGAGTAGGGACATGTGTGTCAGATATGTGTCATCACTAGTTGAAACACAGTTTAGTTTTTTCTGTCTTTCCTTCTCTCTCTCCCATTTCATTTCCCCTGATCCTACATAGTGGGTCACCAGCAATTCACATGCCCAACTGCCCAGTCAAAGGCCAAATCAGTCCAAATAAGGAAGCTATCTCTATACACAACTAAGCAATTTAAAGTACATGGTTTCGTACTGAATCTGGTTCGCTGTTGTCTAATGTGTCCGGCAGTTATAACTCTGACTTGTTCCCCTTTCTGGCCACCTAACTTCTGGAAATACACCATTCTCACTTGACACTCATTGTCTGTTTCCTCAGGGAGTTGAAAGGGTACCACGGCCCCTCATAATTCACTAGTCCAGCGGCTGTCATTTAACTCCCCCCTAGGTCACCCTGCAAGTAAGTGACTGAGGCAAGATCTAAACGCATAGCCCCCAATTTCAATGCAATTCAGAATCTAGGCCCTGGAGCCACACTGCCTGGGTTCAAAGTACAGCTCTGCCACTTAGTTCCTGAGTGACAGTGGGTGTGTCACTTCCTCTCTTCCTCTCTCTCTCTCTCTCTCTCTCTCTCTCTCTCTCTCTCTTTCTCTCGATGTAATGGATGTAATGATGGTCTCTACCTTATAGAATTGAGGTAGACTAAATGAATTACTGCATATAAAATGCTTACAATAATGTCTGGCTCATAGCACTCAATAAATGCCAACTATACTACATCATTCATCTTACCTAGCCAATCAGGGTGGGAGCCTGCGGGGTGTGACAATACCAACATTGGCTCCTATAAACTGTGAGTGTGAGTACTTGTGTCTATCTTTGATATACAGTCAATAGCGGCAGTGTAAGATCGACTCAGATAAAGATCCTCTTTCCTTGGAGTTGTTTCCGTTGTAGGTTTCATCCATGGAGAGGAAACAGAAGTGCATCTTTCAAAGAAGGATCAGAACAAGGCTGGGAAAAGCCCGGAGGCTGTGACTGCCTCTTTACCCCTGGCCTCAGAATACAACCCGGCCACGTCAGACCCACCCCTCCTGCCCCAGTCTCTATTTTGTTTTATGTCTCACACAGCTCGGTGATTCTCAGGCTGTGCTAGAAAGGGGGAATCCCCCAGACCTTTTATGCAATGGGGCCCACAGTCCTGACGCCCTGAGAGGTCAGTGTTTGGGAGAGTTGATGGAGCATGACTGTAACCTCCCACAGCGTGACTCATGACCCGGGACAGCTGGAAACAGGAGGTCCCTGCTGGAGCAGAGAAGCCCTTCTCCTCGGCTTTTTCGGTTGTTACTGCAAACGTGCATGCTGTCCTGAGCTCAGCGGGGCTGTCTCGAATGTGCTCAGAGGATGGCTAAGTGGCCTACGTAACCCAAAGAACACGTGATGCTCAACTACAACCGCCCATCTGTTTAACCCCCACTTCCTCATCCTACAGATGGGAAGGCGCGGTGCAGACCGTGGAAGGTAACTCAGTGTCTCCTGACTCCCAGGGAACTTTCCACCTCCACCCCCCACTCTTGACCCCATTCAGGCGTCCACACCCCTTCCTGACTACTTGGGCACTGCGGTGGTGGCACCATTCACGGCAGGTGTGCACGGAATCTCTGATACTTGAATGACTGGGCCACTTGCACACCTGCAGTCTAGCGCTTTGGGGAACCTATAGACGGAGGGGGGATGTGTGAGCCCGAGGGGCCAACAGGACCAGTGCTGTCAGGAAGAACCCAGTGGAGCTGCGGGGGACCCGGAGAAGCGCTGGGCCCGGCCCTGTGAGTAAGAGCCCAGCCTGGCCGCTCCTTCAAAATCAGAACCTCTGCCCCTGGGACAGTTTCTGTGGCTCCCATCTCTCGTCCTTTCCCTCCGTAAACAGCACTGTCAGGCCCGGTGCCAAGTGCTGAGGATCAGAGATGCGCCTAGAGACAGTCCCTACCCTTAAGGAATCTGTGGAAGGGACACGGATGCAAGGGAACCAGCCACCCGAGCAACCAGGTCCCCACGCAGGAAAGAGGCCGAGGAGGAAAGGAGGAAGCCTGGAAGGAGGCCTCCTCTCCAAGGTGCTGTGCACACCCCCCTCTCACCTGACTTCTGTAACGCAAAGGCTATTTCCTCCGTTTCACAGATGGAGAAAGAAGGCTCCGAGACTGGGGCGCTGACAGTGCAGTGACGGCCAGGGCGGCCACCCACCACCCCGGGCCCCAAACTCCCGACCGGACAGAAGTCTGTCTCCTGTGGGGCTGGAGCGCACCCGCCCGTGGTCCGGCCTCCCCTGAGGCCCAAGATATATATATATATATATATATGTGTGTGTGTGTGTGTGTGTGTGTGTGTGTGTGTGTGTGTGTGTGTGTGGTGGAACTGACGGCTGAGAGGAGGAAAAAGGGGAAATGCAAACGTGCTGAAGCGGGAAATGAGGGCGCGGAGAGGACAAGAGAGGAGAGTTGGGAGGCACTGGGACAGGGCAGCGCGAGGACGGAGCCCCACGCACCACCCCGACGGCCCCACTCACCGGTTCCGCGGCTGCTTCTAAAGCGCGGCGCCCGCCGCAGCTGGATCGCAGCTGGATCGCGCCGGGTCTGAGAAGTTCCTGGGACGGGAGCGGCCCCAGCGCTTCTCCAAGTCCCCGGAGCGGGACGCGGCCCCGGCCCTGGAATCTCCGCGCCCCGGGAGGCAGGCGCGTGCGGCGGCGGCTGGGACGAGCAGCTGGCAGCGGACGGACTCTCTGATCCGGAGGCTCAGGAATTCGCGGCTGCCAGGGACCGCCCCCCGGAAAGCAGGGCTGGGCACCGCCACCCGGTTCAGCTCCTCCCCCTGCTGCCCCGGGGCTGCGGGTGAGAAATGAGCCCCCTTTGGCCGGGGAGGGGGGGGAGTTTTTGGGGTCCCCTTGCCACCCCTTTCCAGCCACAGGGCCTAGGGCCCCTTCAAGTTTATCTGCCCCTTTTTTTTTTTTTTTGGGGGGGGGAGGGGGAGGGGGAAAGGGGTGCTGGGTGGGGGGTGCTCCCGCTCTCTGTATTGTATGTAAGCCCTGTAGGGCTGACCCAAAATGTGTCCTCCAAGAGCCTTCCCAGCTGTAGGCTACCAGGGAAAAGCCTAACCCACGGATAAGGATGGAGGAGCCGGCCTCGGAGCCCCTGCTTTGCAATGTACTGAGTGCAGGATCCTTAACAAGAAACTTCGCCTGGTGGACTTTCATTCTCTGTAAAGTGAAGGTACCAGCAACTGCCTCCCACCCCAGTTGTGAAAATTGGCTTAGAGCAGCGATTTTCAACCATTTTCATCTCATGACACATGAGCTCCTGACTAAAACTCTGTGGCACACCAAGTATGTTATATTTTGACCAAAAAAATAAGTATAATTTTTATTCATTCGAACTGGACGGCTGTTGTTGTGTTGGCTGTTGTCATTCGTTTATTTGACAAGGGAAAGGGGTCAGGGCCCCTGAATAAACAGTCAGATATTGCATGCTTTAAACATTCTTGCAGCACACCGGCTGAAAATTGCTGACTTAGAGGATCAGGGTGAAGCTGGTTGGTTGTTGGCTGTAACATATCTCTGAGCATCCTGTTTATTTTCTGATAACAGTGAGATAGTCCAACCCAAGGTGATCAACGGCCCATTAGAGCGGAGCCTCAGAGAGGCCTGCCATGCCCTACTAGTCCCCGCCCAGCCTCCACACAGGACAAAGCCAGCTCTGCCATCTCCTGCCCACCTCCATGATCCACCCAGCGGCCAGGCTGCAGGGCCTGTTGTGGCACCCACAGATGTTACTTCAGCAGTCCAGCGTTCTTCACTCTTACTCTTCTGAAAAGCAGGAGCTCAGGCCTGGAGCATGTTCAAAATAAAAGGGGAAATTGAAGACCATCTCATCCCAAATGGCTCCTTTTATAGATGGAAAATCTAAACTCAGGCTCAGGAAGGTGGAGTGACGTACCACGGTCACCAGAATAGGACTGTCTGATTACAGAGCTGAAAGTCTACGCACTCTGCACTAAGGATTTGGGGCAGGGTCTGATTTTATCAAGGCCTTAAGTTCAGAACTCTGGGATCATGAAAAGGGCCCTAAGCTGACACTAAAAGGCACTAAACCGTGCCTTCCTGCCCTGGCTCTCGCACTGCCTTGTCGTGTGACTCCAAAAGTGAAAAGAAGGGAGTTGAATTAGCTATTCTCTGAAGTCACTCACACTTCCAAAATGCTTTCGAAGCTGAGGCTCAAGGATCTTAAGATTATTACAGTTTTGAGTTAAAATCATGTCTGTGTGGGGTGATCCATCTTGTCCCACTGATGGACACGTCCTGGCTGAGGTATCGGCTCCCTCCTTACAGACCCCAAGACAGCTCAGTTCTTCCCGAGGAGGCAGGCACTGAGATTCCCCTTGTCTCTCTCCCTCCCTTCCTCTGTCCCGCTGGAAAAATTCCTGAGGTTCTTTTTGCTCTACAGATCCTTGGGCAAAATGCCTCTGTTCTTTGAGGAAGCCGCACTTGCTTGCTGACCTTCAAAAGAAATATGCTTTTAGTCTGAAAACTGATGTAGGAATTTTTATTTTTAATTACATCTTTTAAAATTGTAGCTGGAAGACCTCATTGGGCTAATGATTAGGCAAGGAGGTAAAATGGTGGAATTTTCCAAACATGTGGTATCTGAGATAAAACAAACTGAGCAGACAGGAAGAAAGAGAAGGAAATGGAAGGGTTGCATTTTCTAGCTTTGAAGTGGAGCGATAGTCATGTGGTCTCATTAGTGTGGTTATAATTATTTGAATCCATTCTCGTGGCTTAATTCCAAAGTGTTCAATTATTACACAGTCATGTAGCTGAGAGACAAAAGACTGCCTATTACTGGCAGATATCCTCAGTCCAGTCCACCTATTTTTGAAGTAAATGTGGTCTCAAGAAAAAATACACTGGGTGGGGGAAAAGTCAGTTTACACTTGTTCTTATGGAAAAATAACACAATAAATAAGAAATAATAATACAAGAATAAACTCTGTTTCATGTACTCACAACCGTAAACCCTCTTGCCCCACCCTGTATAATAAAAGCCTCTGCCTTAAAAAAGAAAACTTACTTTAAGAACACTTCTTGAACATCTAACATGTAGCAAGTGTTTCACATACATCATACCATTTAGTCCTTGCTACAATTCTATAGTGAAAATGTTAACCCCCATTTTACACATGAGAACAGAGGCCCAAAAGGACCAGTTGGATTGTCTAAGATTAGCTAGCCAGTAAGTGGCAAAACTGTTTCTAAATGTTCTACACCTGACTGACACCTACTGAACCAAGTCCCCTCTGCACCTCTGTCTTTTACTCTATGAAATGGGGTGATTCCCGCCCTAGCTAGTGCACAATGCAAAATACAGAAGCACAAGCAGACCATTAGATGCATGACTGTGATAGACAGTAGAGGACAATAGTTGTGGGAATCAAGAAGAAAAATTGTTTTGACATCTAAACAGTGATATTAAATTTAGATGGTCGGTAAATATTACTTATTTACTTTAAATATGAATGCAAGTTTCTTTGTCCCTCCAGATTCACCCTCCACACACTTCTCCATCCTGCTTTGTGCATGGGGTGGTACCACATCTGGCCCCATCAAGGAGCCCTGCAGCAGGCACGGTCAATGCCTTGCCCACATCCCTTGGACCTCACCCAACTTCAGCTCTCGCCAGATTTCCAACTGCCAAGACCTGCATCTTTGTGTCTGAGGACTGTCCCCAGACCTACAAAAAGGCCAGTCTGCCAGCCTGGCAATCCAGAAGTACCCAAGAAATAGCCCAATCCCAGGAGCAGCCCTCAACCAGACTCCAGGGGCATGAATGTCCCAAAGCCCTCACCTTTTGGAGGAATGAGTCTGGGGCATGTGTTTACATTGTTTCCAGAGTTTCTCTATGAGACCAAACCCTTTTTGTAGCCGGCTTAATAACACAATCTTGTTGGTCACCTTCTCTTGGGCATCACTCCCTCACTCCTCTACTCGTGCACTCTGAACTTCTTACATGAATTTTCACTCAAGTAGACTTTCGCTTAAGCCCTTATCCCATCATCTGCTTCTGAGGGAACACAAACTAAGATAGGCTTCCCTGAGGTCTGGCTTCCTGTCGGGTTAAGCTAAGAGGGAAGTGCCAGCAAGAGCTGAGGCGTGTTGCATTTCTACTCTCCACCCCAGGGGCTGCCAATGCCTGGCTCTGTCCTGGACCCAAAGGTCCTGCTCCTGTCAGGGGCCTCTTCACACAGTTCTTTCTCTTCTGGTTCCAGGAAGTGGAGGCTCCCTCCCTTTACACTTTCAGGCCATAAGCAGCACCCACCTTCACTAGCCCTGGGACACTGCAGCATTCCTTGTGATCACTCTTCACCCTCTTAACAATCCCTTTATTAAACCTTTCTCTAATTCTGATGTTAGCCCACCATCGCTCCTATTGGTATCACTAGTGATTCAGCAGGTTTGACGACTTCTGGATTTGGCCTCAGATAGTTGGTGATGAGGGTATATGGAGGGTGCACAGGCGATGACAAGAATGGTGGAGGGAGCAGAGATGGAGAGACAAGTGCACAGTGCAACAAAGGCTAACTGGTAAGGGAGGGTGGGTATATTAGAGAGCTATTGCCGTGTAACAAAGTATCTCAAAATTTAGCAGCTTAAACATTGATTATCTCACAGTTTCTAGGGGTCAGGACTCCAGGAGCTGCTTAGCCAAGTGGTTCTGGCTCAGGGTCTCTCATGAGATTGCAGTCAGGATGCCAGCTGGGTCTATACTCAACTCAATACAGTGGGGCCTTGACTTACCAGTGTCCCGACTAACGAGTTTTTCGAGATACGAGCCGTTTCTCAGCCAATTTTTTGCTTTGAGTTGCGAGCTAAAATTCGGGTTACGAGCCAGCTTCAGATACCCCACCGCTAAACGTCAGAGTGAACACCACAACATCAGCCCAGCATCACGTGTCTCACTCGTTCACTTTAATGATTTGACATACGAGTAATTTGAGTTACGAGCTCGGTCACGGAACGAATTAAACTCGTAAGTCAAGGCCCCACTGTACTTGACTGGAGCTGAGGAATCCACTTCCAAGCTCATGTACTGGTTGCTGGCAGTCCTCAGTCCTCACTGGCTGTTGCTGGAGGCTTTAGTTCCCTGCAACAGAGCTGCTCAAAACCCAGCAGCTTGCTTTTCCCAAGCAAGTGATCCAAGAAAGCACCCAGCACAGGAACTATAGACTTGTATCATCCCAGAAGTGTCCTACTGCTACTTCTGTTGTGTGCTATGGGTCACAACCCTGGTATAATGTGGAAGGAGTGCACACAGGGGTGTGAATACCACCGAGGGCAGATTTGGAGGCTGGCTTGCATAGGTGCTCAAGAGTAACAATATATCCCATTGAACTTCCTTCCCTGTGAGGACAGGAAGGTTTTCAGATGAGGCACAGACAGCTCCAAGTCTAAAAGAGCTTCCAGAAACAAACTGTAAGAGGCACCCAAGATGGGAGTGTGGGCAAGACTGGAAATCCCAATCATCCACACATAATAAAAGAAACCAATTTAGTGCTCATTAAGTAAGCGGGAGATCCAGTGTAACTTCAGGCGAACCACTTCCTCTCTCTGAACCTGTTTTCCCACTTGTAATCCTGACTAATCGCTGTGGCCTAATAACAAATACTTACATAGCAACTTATGATGTTCTATGTTCTACCCACATTAATTTTTATTAACTCATTTTGCCTTCACAGCAGCGGACAAAGCTTGTTT